TGAGAATCCTGATGGATTACCAGATTTAAATTATCGAAATTAATGGTGGTTTTGAGTTTTAGGATTTTGAGTTTTAAATTTTAAATTTTATGGAATTTTTATATTTTTTTCTTAAATTTTTAATTGTAGTTTTTGATTTTAAAATGTTCTGAAAGTATAAAGTTTTAAAATTTTTCTTATATTCTGTTCTTAATGGCGTAATTACTAAAGTTTTAATATGATACATGGCAATCTTAAATTTTTCCAATTTTCGTTATTGGCAGTCCTGGAGCTTCTTTTCTATGATTATCAAAGATAATTAATACATATGAATTCAGATAGTGGTAGGACTATTAAAGTAAATTTTTAAAATAAATTAATACTTTAAATAGAATTATGATTATTTAAATAATATGCTATTAAAGTAATACTGTAGGGAATTCGGTTTGACCTTCTGCAGGTTATTTAAATCGGGAATTCCTCGATGGCTTTGGACCGCCTGTACCTCTTCCGAAAATTCATGTGAATGAATGTTTCTTGAGAGTTTCCGCCACTCTGTTCGCCCGTGGAATTTTTGTTTTTGGATTTTGAATGTTTGGTGTTGTGCTTCGTTGCTTGTATATCTCTTCCTTATTTTTAGTTCGTTAATTAACCTCCAATTATTTTTAGTTAATTAGCTTCTTTTTCTCTCTTCTTTCCTTTTGTGGTCTTGAGGGGGTCGACCCTTTATAATCATACGGTCCAGTGGGACTAGGAGGATTGGGTCTTCCCTGTATTTATAACTATTATAACTGACTTTGTCTCTCATTTCCGGCATACAATGCATATGTATTACCTGAATTACATTAATTTTACATTGCGTTGGATTACTTTTGTGTACAGTTACACGACCTTTACACATGCGACATGCGACGGAGGACGTGGGCACCACCCCTCTACCAATACGGTTAATCGGTATAGCGCCATGTCCACCTTTATTTAGATAACCATACGTGCTCATTGTGCTAATATACTAATATATAAACATACATACAAAATTTGGTACTTCATACAGTGGCGTTAAAGCTAATTAATGTTAGACACTGGATAATACATAGCCATGTTACAAGGTGTATGCAAAAGCATGGATACGGTAGCATATATACATAACGTGTGTACTCATATGTTGAGTACACTATGATCCTTTGAAGCATTATCATTAGATTACAGAAGACGTGTACATACTGAAATATTAGGTGCGCAATGTTATGCTGGAATAAGTAATTAGTACAGTGAATTAAAAGTTAGACCCTAGATTAGTACTGTGTAGTACAGTGTCTTGCTACTGAATTATTTGTACTGTTTCCTAAGTACATTAACCAATGTACAAAGATATTAAAACATGTGTATTAGGTACACAGTAATTAGTGGATACCCAAGCGTTAGGTAAGTGCTACTTTAACATACATTAACAATAGGTACTTAATACAATGCTGAACAGATAACTGGTGCAATTCATTTTAGAGTGGGGCTCTAGTTAGTTCTTTGCGATACGGTGCCGTGTTACAGGATAAAATGCGCAGATGCATAGTTACATTATCATATATACAGAACATAAATTCATATACATATATACAGACATTTTGTATACAGAATATAAATTCATATACATATATACAGACATTCTGTATACAGAACATAAATTCATATACATATATACAGGCATTTTGTATACAGAACATAAATTCATATACATATATACAGGCATTTTGTATACAGAACATAAATTCATATACATATATACAGACGTTTTGTGTACAGACACATTAGGTACATGATTATTCAGTGCGTAATAGATGTATATTAACTATACAGTGCCAAGATATGTAATAATAGTAGTAGCACGACCTTTACACAAACAACCAACATTCAAATGAGAAACCCGCTGTGCAGTCTTCCCATTTACACACAGTTGAGGTGGCGTTACTCATAGCTGGTTTGGGCCCACCTTACTGCACTAGACTATTAACTTTTCGATAAGATGAAAAACTCTGCGGGGTCAACAATGCGCCAGCAATGAGGAACTTACTCTCAACAGTCTATATATGAGTGGGTACGTAGTGCTCTTGAGGAAAGGTGTTCGAGAACCATGCGAAACTTTTCTTGGAGATCGGAACACTGTATCCATCTGTGTGGGAAATACCTGTAATATTCATATATGTGTTCTGATAATTAACGTATTTCTGTTATATTACTCATCTTAGTCCAGATTATTACTGAATGATCCAAGTAACATGGCCGTGTAAATTAAGGCTTCTTAACGATTAACTTAAACAAAAGAGTTTTTATAAATCTTTATTGACTGCTTCCGTCAATGACGGAGTAATAGATACCTATTTTTGTCTCCCACGATAATGCTGGCTAAAGCCCTGTATATCGATATATATTATGTAGGGTAATGCAACGTATTCATAGGACTCGGAGAAAAGTTTCTAATAATTTGGACGTCATTACGAAAACTTATCATGGCACTTACTTGTATAGAATTTATTATACTTCCAGCATGGAGACTTCTTGTTTCATTGAATAAAAAAATCTATAAACCGATGAATAGTACAGATGTAATAAAAATATCAAATTAACACACACAGCCAAAAGCCAATATGCAGGAGTGACAGCCGTATACGTGGGGTTTTCCGTAACACTTACCATTTTTCTGCATGGGTTTATATTTTGCCTTAAAACTGTATACAGTCTCATAATATATTTGGAATGTATAACCAAATTTATATTCTTCGACGAAATTTAGGTACTTTTGGAAGGTTGTTACGAATTTTAATTTACCTTTTAGGATTTAAAGGCTTGCCGAGTTGGGTGGGGGATACAGTTAAAAAAATTTACTTAATAAGCAGTTTACCTATTCCAGGTGGAAACAAAATCAACTATTTAAACTCTATATTTCACTTGGTGAGATAAATTAGCCCTGATAAAAAAACTGTGGTAAACATTAGTTTAATTGAAATTCCAAGTTTTAAATACGGTACGCAAGCAGCCAACTGCACAATATAATGAAGAAAACTTACCTGATGCACATTCTGCCTATAGAGAAACTCATGTGGGAAAAAAAAAATTAAACGAAAAAGTTCATTATATTTTATAATGAAAATTTATAAAACTTCAGAGTATTTTACTGTTCAGCTTTTATGCTTAACTCCAATAAAATACATAATATAAACATAGAAACCTAATAAAGCAATGTGCCAAATTATGTATGCAATATTAAGTCATAAAAAATATTCTTTAAGTAAATATTTGGCTATGAAAGCAACTCCAGATTACGAGCAAATGATATTTTTCAAAGAGGGCAAAAATTATTTTGTTTAATAGCTAAAAACAATAAGCCGTTTTGTCGTTTTTCAAAACCCTGAACAGTTTTGGAAAATGAATTTTATCAAGAAATCAAGGCAAAATATGAAGAAAAACCTATAGTAGATGACAAATTTAGAAATATTTTTACTAACGAGAGCTACAAATAAAGTTTCCCTATCAAACACACGATGTTTACATTTAATTCTTCATAAAAAGTTCTTGCGGGCATAATCAGTCAAAAATATGTTTACTGCAACAAGTAAATATCCTGTACCTATGAATTTAAAAGTTGTGGTATGTTTGATATATTCGTCCAATTGTCAGAGAGCCACTGCTAATTTAGAAACGATTTCCGTACTTATAATACGATAAACTCCATGTTAGACAGTAAACATTTTTAACCCTTTGCGATATGATTTTATTTTGGAACTCGTACATTAATGAAACAATTTTTATTAGACATTACATGATATAAATTGTTATAAAAACACATTTCACTTCATGACATTTCAATACATTTTATAGAAATAATTTTGCAATAAAATGCACAAAACATAATCGATTCTATATTTCATCAATGATTCATCTATAGATATCTAATTTTTGAAGTGTTAAAATTACCCAATTTATCATTCAAATAATTTACTATATTTCGAAATTTTTTCAATTGTTCATCATTATTCGTTTTTTTTATTACCGGTGATGTGTAAGGAACGTAGCATAGCTAGGATTTTATGAAAATACCCGCGTATATACTATCATTTTCATCTGAAAAATTCTTCACTGTTCTTATCCATACGGTGTTTATTTCATATAATTTTTTCTCTTTTATTTAGTCGACGTTTGCACTCAATCTATCAGTCGCCTACTAACTATTACGGCAATTTATAGCCATTAACTTTAGCCACACGACTAATGCAACTCGATGTTACACTTCAATATGATTTTAATGACGACTGTAAAACGTGATTTTGGAGTCAAAAACTAATGATAAGCAGTACTATACTCATCGTTTTCCTGCAAAGGATTAATAGAGGTAAACATTTAACAAGCAGCGATGTAATATCTCAGTTACCTGATCCTTCTAAAATAGCACGTATAAACAAATGTAAAGGCCATCAGTTTCATAAACTAAACATTACCTTAAGCATGATACCTTTATCTGCTCGAAAATTACTGTAACAAAAATTTATTCCGCTCCTTAAATGTTTAAAGCTTAAATATGCTGGAGTCCTCTACGTGATAATAATTTTTCTTTTAATAGAAGCTCAGTATGGAAAACATTTCTTAGCAGAAAATCCAAAGCATCAGCATTCGATATTTTATGATAGCTTTGCAAAGAAAGATTAAAACAAGTCTGCCTGGGTGGTTACGGTAGTTCCATAAAAAGAAACTTTATGGAACCATCTAACTTAGAATCTTGTAACTCGAAGCATAAGGAATTTTGTAGGCAAGTCCGTAACAGGAAAACTCATTCTAAAAGCTTAAATCATCATGAAACGGTACGCGGCCCAAAAACTCATTCGGGATATTGCGCCATAAATGCCTCAAGAGCCATCACTTTGCCGCTCAACGACATCTGGCGCAGAGAATGAAGTGCATATCCCACGTGGCTCTGCCTCGGAATGGCCATCAGAATACCGCCATGTAACAGCGTTTTTGTGACTACTTACCTAGAGAAGGGGTAAATATCTCATCATCAGAGCTCGCTTTGCTCCTGCTTCGAAGTCTACGGGAAGGGCCAATGAGCCAAGTGGGAGTGATAACGGCTGCTACCATCGCCAGAGTTGTTGCCATGGTCAGCAGTGTCCACAACAACGTCCTCGAAGTGACGATCATATAGCACATCCTTCTTACATGGTAGTCATCATCAGGTGTTAAATCTGAAAATGAAAAATCAACTATCAGTCAAAACATCGCCGTTACCTAAAAATTTATTCAAAAAATATAGTTTATAAATTATACAGATTTTAAAAGGTAATTAAAGAAATATAACTTTTTACAGTTACTATAAACCGTTTACCTTAAATTATCTCTTATGATTATATCTCAAAACACTTTCCAGAAAATAATGTTTCTGTTCTTTTAAACCTTAATTATTTCTTCACTATTCAAATACTCTTCTTTCACTTCTTACATACATATATACATCAGACCAAGTACGTAATAAAGAAAACGTTAATTGACATAGAACTGTAAAATCAAAGCTAATTATGCAATTACAATTAAAATCTACTGCAGGAAAATGAAATACCATTTAAAATCTACGTCAGTCAACATTGTTTTTCTGGCAATATGGTTATATTTAATGCACCATTCTTTCCCATTAAAGCAGAATAAGAAGAAAAATAACAATAGGTAGACAAAATGTTGAAAACTTCAGTTTAAGAATTATAAAACTACAGAAATGAGTAGTACGACACATGAGAGAAATAGTGATTAAGGACTATATTACAGTTACGCTTTTAAAGCCCTAAATGTGAATTATATTCACCCCAAGAATGAAATCTCATTAGTATACTATAAGACTGAACCAAAAAAGAATTAGCGTGATATTTACATTGATAGGTCCGGGTTTGGGAAGAAATTAGGAGGTGCTTTTGCTGCTTATTATTATGTTATTGAAATAGACAATAAAAAATATAAATAGGAAAGTTTTAAGTCTATTTTTCAAGCGGAACTTCTTCCAATTCTTAAAGCACTACAGTGGGTACAAAAAAAAAAAAAAAAAAAGAAAAAAAAAAGAAAAAAAAAGATAACCTATAATAGGAAATTTACTGTATATTCTGATTGTCTCTCAGTTTTACAAGCCCTCTTCATCCCGGACCAGGCGAATATTTTGATTCAAACGACAAAAGAACTATACACAAGCCTTCTTAAAAAACATGAAATTAGACTTGACTGGATTAGAGCGCATTTTAGGTACTTAAACAATGAGAGTCAGGATGTCTTTTTGTTAAAAAAGCGGCTATAGAATGCTATGGCAAGACTCTAAAAATAAAAGATTTTATGCATAATTTTAAAATTCAAATAAATATCAAACCTATCTCAAGAACAGATGTAAATCAAATTATAAGCGGCCATGGAAGATTTCCGTACTATATTACTAGTTTGGGCTTCAAGAAAATGATAAAAGTAAGCTATGTAAAGTGGTTGGAGATGCTTGTCATTTTGTTGAAGCGTGTGCTATCACTAGAGATATAGAAATAGCAGATAAAGACTTTTAAACATTGAATTACAATAGTACAGCAGCGAAAAGAATTGCAAAGCAAATTATGGCAGGAATAGAGCTAAATAGAGAAAAAATAGGCATAATAGGCATGTGGGTGCTAGTGTTTTGAGTGTTTTTTTTTATTATTTTAGTTTAGCTCCTAAACCTCTGCTTTATTTTTTTCTCCTCTGCTTATCAGTGCGTGAAATATAAAAAAATCCATACATCTACATAGAGGTACCTTCTGGTTGTATTTCATGATTTCTCTTTTGTTATATTTTCTAACATTTTTAGGTTTTTTTTTTTTTTTTTTTTTTTTTTCTTTTGTTGAGGCTGTTGTTTCTGGCTTGCTCTGGCGCAGCCCATAAAAACTCCGTTGGGCTACGTAAAGTTTGCCAAGAAGGTTGGGCTGCGACCCTCAGATCACATCACATGGGAGAAATATGTATATTCTTCTTGAGTTGAGTTTGTCAGTTCGAATATTCACTCGCTTGTTATAACAACAGTCAGTTATTTAAAAAAATAGAACTTCCTTCTATTAATCGTAGAATTTTGCAAATACAAAATATTGAATTTTCAGGGGCAATGTAGAGACATTCGGCTTATCAAAACTATACACGTTACTCTCAGGAATAATGACAAAAAAATAGAGAAGGATATTCTAATATAAAAGATGAATACTTTACTTATACACACACACACTAACCGTCAGCAAATAATCTTGGAGCGATTTGAAATTAACTTATAAAAGAATCGCCCTGTACACGCCAATAACTTGCTCTGCATGGAAAACAGTGATAAAGTTTAATAAATAAAAACAATACACCATACAAAAACAATGTAATAAAGTGGCAATCTTAACGGGGAAAAAACGGAGTTTTTGAAATACATTAAAATTTTACATGAATTTAAGATCATACAACATTATATATATATATATATATATTATTCCTGCGGCAGATTTAAAAATTGTGCAGAATTTACATTTTATGCATAACCGAATGCTTGCATTTTATGAAGAAATTTCTTTATCACCATGATTTGCTATTGTGAAAACAAGTATTCACACTATTAATAGCCCGAATATTTTAGTAGATTAGTTGAAATTGTGCAATTAAATAAAAGAATTTAGTACTTCGCTCACGCGCATACAGAAAATCATTGAAAAATGACAGTTAAGCATTCATATATTATTCTTTATTTATTCGTGTCTTAATATCTGCTATCAAAGTCATGTTTGCTTCGGTTCGCGGTGTTATGATTGATGATACTCGAGTAAACTGCATAAAATCATAACGGTACATTAAATTTACGATGTAATGTAAGGTACATAACGTGTGAAAATGCAATACCATTCCGTTCATGCTTTGGTAGATGACAAAAAAGGTTGTGTAATTCACCTTATTACGAAAACTGAACACTGATATGATGAATTAAGAAAAGATTAGGGGGGACTAGCGGTATAACACTGTAATCGTTAATTCCAAACAATTTTGTGATTTTGTCGTTGAATTTTTATGTAGCTTAAATGTGAACAAAGTGATGTTTGATGTTTAATAATAAAGCTTAAAATGACAATAAAAAAGGTTTTGTAGGTTACCTTATTAGGAAAACTGAATATTGATATGATGAACTGAGAAAAGACTGAAAAAAATAGACAAATGTATGAATGATTCCAAAAGCAGATTGATAAACTGCATGCTCAGCGAGAGCGTAAGAAATCTTAACAAACCTCTAGTGCAACATTAAAATTTGAATCCTTTCAGATAGCCTTTTTTCTAAATTGTCGATAATCAGTTGCCGCAAATATGAATTGCTCTTGTTATTCATGAAAGAAAATTTGGATTGTCTTTAAAACAATGCATAAAAAACATTTGTAGTATTCGGAGATTAAAACTTTCAAAATGAACCAAATACTACCAAGTGAAAAATAATAAGCAATATACAGTTAGATCATTCTTAAAAACATGAAGTGATTTATTTAATTATGGCAAAGCTATCTACTTAAAATTAAGGATGTCTCAGAGGAGGCTTATTCAAACGATATTGGCCTCTATTTACTTTACACAGAAAAAAAAAAAAAAAAAATCCCAGTGCCTTTAAAAGTCCATATAACCACCAATATTATAATATAGATAACTACAAAAATTTTGCGGGTTTTACTGCACGTAACTTTGTAGAGCCGCAGAAAACTGATATACTCGCTCATCATAGGTGTGGTGTATTTAATTATGGCAAAGCACACTAGGGCTATCTGCCTAAGGGGAGGGATGCCTTCGTGGAGGACTTTCTAAGGGAAACTGGCTCGTATACACGTTACACATGGGGAAAACCACGAAAACACCCATACAGCCAGCCCGTTCGCGGGATTCGCAACTCGGACGAACTACCAGTGTTCAGCGACTTTACCGCTCGGCCGCTGGTGGGCCGCTCATCATAGGAACTGCAAGTCTTCAAGAGCTATCTATAGGTCTTTCGAAACGTTTCATGTTATTTAAATGCTATTCCGCTTCCAAATTTGTCAATATGCCACAAATGGTATTGCCGCTTCTGCTGAAACTGGAAACTCGCCCTTTTAACCCCCCCTTCCTCTGCAGAATAAGTATGCCTCAGTAAAATTATTGAGAAATTCTTTGTAGAGGCAAAATTAAGGTATGAAGGAGAAATATATAAGTAGGATTTTTGGGGGTGGGGTAATTGATTATGGCAAAGCACGCTTAGGCTATCGATCTAAGGGAAGGAATGCCTTCATGGATGACTTTCTAAGGGAAACTGGCTCGTATCCTCGTTACGCTTGGAAAAAACATCAAAAACATGAATGCAGCCAGTCCATTCAGCATTCAGCGACTTTACCGCTCGGCCGTTGGTAGGCATATAACTAGGAATTTTGCTATGTTAATTTTTCACATGATGCGTTTTAAATCTCTTCAACCAATTCCGCCTTCTAATCCAGTTGTGTGTCATGTAAGCACAGCATGCTTGCATAAAAGTATGATAATCCACTTTAAGTACTTCGAAAACCATGATTAAAAATAACTAATTTTCTCAGACAGATATAACTCACAGAGTTTGGATTCGATTATAAGCTCGCAGCTATTTTAATCCTTTTTAAGAAGTCAAGCCTAATAACGTATGGACAACTAACCCCTACTTTAAAATTCAATTATATCAAAATTAGTGTGTCGGAAAATTGGTTTATAAGTCTTTTCGAGCAATTTTCCTCCCCCCTTATCACTTGTGAAGGAGAGACTTTTCCTCACTTCCACTACTGTCCTTCTAATCTCAGTCCCGCATGCCAGACGGAGGAAATACATATAACACCTAATTTTTCACTCAGTTATGATTAAAAATAATTTAGTGAACTTCATTTTTTTTAAATGTCTCTCGCTCTTTCCAACACATTTCAAAAAGATCATACCTCTAGGAATTTATTGTTAGGTATCGCACAAACAATTATTCTGTACCATGGTACGTAATAAATGGTGTTAGAAACATCTTTTATTAATTAAAATTATTTACATAAATTAAAAAGTTATGCAAGTATTCTAGATGAAAAAGTATTATAAGTAAAGCTTAATTTTATTTCTAAGTTTTAACTATTTTCTTTTACAAAAATATTTGGAATCACATCACAAATGATAGATCCAAAACTAATAATCACATTGAAGAGTA